GACGAATGCAAGTTTAGCTCATTTTCACCAGAATTCATGGAAGCTGCTTCGAGGAGTGCGTCAAAATAAAGACGAGCAACACCAGATAACAGGGAATTGGCCCTCCTCTTCTCACGAGATGGGCCTATCAAACTCTTCTTTGTACGCCCACAACAGAGGCTAAAGTCAACTCAACAATGTCCGTAGAGGAGTCCATCCCGACTGGCCAACTGAGGAAAGTCTGGCCTAATTAAGGACCATTGAAGAGGCGCCGTAAGACAGTAGTTTGATAGCTGACTTGTAAGAAAGCATACTTCCGTCGTTAACGAGAACATTAAACTTGGTGAATACGCTCTTGTTCAGAACACTCAATGCAAGCTTTCATTACATTTCTGAAAATCAGGACACTTTATGAAAGTCCCCACGGTCGTATCATTTGCATTGATTTGGCTGGCGGACAACGCCTCATTTTAACCATTTCTGCTACAGCAAACTTTCTCGGGGGGAGTTGCTGTGTGGATGGACTCATCGGATGGCACGAGATGCAGTGTCGACCAAGAACCCCGTGCAGGCCAGAGCGAAGAGGGCAGCAGGAAGAAGCGTTACGTGCCATCTGAGGGACACCTTGTCGGGCCGAGGTATCAGCAAATTTCTCTTCCACCTGCCCTCCTCACGTGGAGACTTTCCACATACTGCAGGACCGGACACACGATAGCCGGCATGCTTGTACCTGCATTGTTGCCTGGTACATGCGGACAAATCAACTTACAAGCGAACGGTATGGATGCACTCAATGATAGTGATAATGCAGATGTTACGCAGGATCGTCGTGTTTATGGTAATAACAAAAAAATGGATGGATACTGCTGGCGGAGGTAGCTACTTTTCGAGGCTCAAAAATGTCTAGAGGCTGCACGAAAGGAACGAACCCTCATCACATTTTAAGGGTTACAGGCACCCAATGTACATGGAACTGCACACCGGAACCTGCGGCAGCATTGCAAGACACAATTCCAGTTTATATCGGCAAGGAAACAGTTGTGACCAAATTCATACACTCTCCAGGCCCGGACTTCACCCATCTACAAGTACGTTGGGCAAATATGAATTAGCCAACCAGTCCCAGAAAGAGGATAAATAGGTCGTGGAAAAGATGAGTTGTCATGCGAATTCTTGAATATGGCATAAAGGGAGTCCGGAATCGAGGGCTCATAGGCAGCCAGAAAGTGATTGTCATGTGTGGCAGGGCCCAACTGACAAGCGGAGTGGAGGAGGGCTAGATGAATGTCAGAATACATGACCAAAAAGCCCTACAAATGATATCTGAAACCGGTAGTAAAGGTGTTTATGCGTCACTAAATCCACTTGAAGCGATACACGCTTTGGCAAAATTGGAAAAACGAACATACAGAATGGTGGGAATAAGTAAATGGGCCATATGAAGTGGGAGGTATGAAGACCAAGATGGTGTGGCCTTTTGTGTGGTCGCAATCTCCTTTCGTTGTATAGAGGTTGTTTGACCTTATTTTCATAACATGGTCATATTGGTAGGAAGACTTAGAGGAACGCACCTAGTCCGGAGTCCATTGTATGCATCATCATTTGGTCATAATGGTAGGAAGACTGATAGAAACGCACCTTGTCCTGAGTCCATTGTATGCATAATTATTTCTTTTCGCAACTCGGTCATATTGGTAGGAAGACTTATTGGAACGCACCTAGTCCGGGGTCCATTGTCTGCATGATCATTTCCTTGGTCATTTTGGTAGGAAGACTTATAGAAACGCACCTTGTCCTGAATGGTCACATTGGTAGGAAGACTTATTGGAACGCACCTAGTCCGGGGTCCATTGTCTGCATGATCATTTCCAAAGTAAGACCATGGACGTGGTACATTCCCAGACGTTTCGTCTCCCTGACGAGTTGTCGAATGGTGCTAAGAATGGCGAGACTCACTGATGATGCCGACTACGATGCCGGCGAAACGTCTGGGAATCTACCACGTCCACGGTCCTATTCTGGAAATGATTCTGCATACAATGGACTCCGGACTAGGTTCGTTCCTCTAAGTCTTCCTGCCAAAATGACCATGTTGCGAAA